TTTTAAGCGATTTGTCGCAAAATGATTGAATGTGTCGATTTAGGCAATTCGATTTTACGGCTTTGAGCCGAAAATGGTTGATTTTAAAGGCATTTTGCCAAAAATGTCGATTTTAAGCGATTTGTCGCTAAAATAATTGATTTTAGGCTTTTGGCCGAAAATTGGTTCATTTTAAGGCATTTTGCCAAAAATGTCGATTTTATGGCTTTGAGCCAAAAGGCATTTTGCCAAAAATGTCGATTTTAAAGCGATTTGTCGCTAAAATGGTTGATTTTACGGTTTTAAACCGAAAATGATTGATTTTAAGGCATTTTGCCCAAAATGTCGATTTTAAAGCGATTTGTCGCTAAAATGGTTGATTTTAGGCCTTTGGCCAAAAATGTTCAATTTTACGACTTTTAGCCGAAAAAGGTTGATTTGTAGGCATTTTGCCAAGAAAATGTCGATTTAGGCTTTTAGTCACACTTATTGATTAATTGGACTTAAGCCGGATTTGTTCGAAATAAGGCAGTTGAACCGTAGTTATTAATTAACACGTAGGCATCTTTTAGCAATAGTTGTCGGATTTTAAAACTTTAAATCTTTAATACCACGATTATTAATTAACCGGGCATTTAGCCTAAATTTATTTAATTGAGGCAATTTATTTGCCTAATTATGATGTGAAATGCGTTTATGCAATTATAGAATTATCAGGAGTAGAAGAAAATAGGCAGAGTTTTGATTTACATACCTGATTTAATCGACGGCCACTTCTCAACTCCAGGTTAAGCTCCTCGTTAAAGGAATTAATTTTAACTTAATTTTAAGTGACCAAGTATCACAACAATAAAATAAAACTAAAATTAAAAAAATGCAAGAAAGCAGTAAAGAATCGCAAAGAGCGTAGGGAATTAAATGCAAAAAGCGGTAAAGAAAAACGGCAAGGAGCGTGAGAGGGAAGAGGAATTTCGTCCGTCAAATAACAGACAAGGCGTGCCATGGTCTGAAAAATTGGCCTATTTATAGGCCATTTTCGGAATCCCAGGCGGTAGCTTGCCGCCGGAGGAGCTGGGCGGGTCAGCTGTCGTCCGGTCTCGGCGGGTAGGCCCCGGCCGGAGGGCGGTAGGCTATCGCCCTGTCGGTGGGCGACAGGCCCCCGCCCGCTGCGGGCGAACAGGCCCCGTGCGCGCTGGCGGCAGGAACTCGCCCAGGGGGTGGGGTGCCAAGCCCTGCCCAGCGCGGGCGAAGGCCCCGCGCGTGCTGGCGGTAGGCCTCGCCGCGCGGGGCGAGAGGCCTCGCCCGCAGCGGGGTGCGAGCGGCCGGCCAGCCGTGCCCGGCCCGCGCGGTGGCCCGGCCCCGTCCCCGTGCCCGGCTTGCCGCTCCGCGCCGTGGTCCGGTGTGGACACCGTGCCTCGCTCCGGGAGCCTTTTCGGGAGTTTCGGACCTCCGAAAAATATTCCGGCACCTGTTTCGCGATCCTCGCGACATTCCGGACGTTTTAAGTACCATATTGGCATACTGTAGCAAGGTCAAAATTTGAGTATTCACACCGGCGACCCATTTTTTGCCTATAAAAGGCCACTTACCTCTTCAATTTTGACACCGCTGTCTGTGTTGACGGACGATCTTCCTCCCACGCTCATTGCGATTTCTTTACCGCTTTTTGCATTTAATTTAATTTTTATTGCATCTTTATTGTGATACTTGGACACTAAAATTAAACAAAATAAAATTAATTAATATTTCCTAAACGAGGAGCTTAACCTGGAGCTAAGAAGCGGTCGCTGATTAAATCAGGTATGCTTATAAATAGCTTGAAAAAACTCATTTTCATTCATTCTAAACTTTCTAACCTAAGGAACTCTCTCAAATTCTCTCAACTTTTAAAGCTTCAAAATTGTTTTGTCTCTCTCTTTTTTTTTCATGGCTTCTTCTGATCTGAGCGGTGAGGAGTACCTGGGGTCTCTAGGGATCTCGCTTGACGAGGTCAACCTTACGGCGGACAATAACACTCATGCCTCCGTAACTGGCATCTTTGCCCAGGTAAGCCTACCTTGATGGCATTATTATCATCTTTTTCAGGCTAAAGTTGGGAATTTTCGGGCCTTAGGCCGGATTGTGAATTTTCGGGCCTGTGTGGCCGAAAATGTGAGTGGCCGAAAATGTGGAATTTTGGGTCCTCTGTGGCCTGATTTTGTGAAATTTTGGGCCTCTGTGGCCCTGATTTGTGATTTGTGGGCCTCTGTAAGCCGGATTGTGATTTTTTGGGCCTCTGCGGCCGAATTGGTGAATTTTTGGGGCCTCTGTGGCCAAATTGTGAATTTTTGGGCTTCTGTGATTTTTCGGGCCACTTTGGCCTGAATGTGATTCTTCGGGCCACTTTGTGAATTTTGGGCCTCTGTGGCCTAATTTGTGATTTGTGGGCCTCTGTGGCCAGATTGTGAATTTTCGGGCCTGTATGGCCGAAAATGTGAATTTTGGGCATCTGTGGCCTGATTTGTGATTTGTGGGCCGCTGTGGCCAGATCGTGAATTTTCGGGCCTGTGTGGCCGAAAATGTGAATTTTGGGCCTCTGTGGCCTGATTGTGATTCTCGGGCCTTTGTGGCCGAATTGTGAATTGTCGGGCCTCTATGGCCAGAGTGTGATTTTCGGGCCTTAGGCCGAATTTGTGAATTTTGGGCCTCTGCGGCCCCTTATGTCGGTGCAATTTTCTCTATAAAAAATCGGCTCTCGTTTGGTTTGCCACTCACTCTTTTTCTCTCTTCTCCTTTTGTCTGTGCTTTTTGAAGAATGAAATCCTTTTTCAATCATAGCGATGCACAGCGTTGGATTAGGAGTCTCTCCAAAACAAAGTTGAAAAGATCAATTTGGGGAGGTATGGTCTCTCTCCTATCGTTACTCTCAGGGGGTAGTAATCGATTGGAATTTTTTATGGGCCTGCATCAGACTTTGGGATCCAGAGGCCCATGTTTTCCGGTTCGGAGCTATGATGGAGGAGATGTGCCCTCTTTTTGAGGAGTTCTGTGTTATTATCGGGTGTGATCCCAATGCCCTCTCTAGTCAGGCATGAGGTCAAAGTCAGATATGTTCGGTCATTTGAAAGCCTGTTTCAGTTCAGTCAACCTCAAGCTAGGGCTATGATTGTTGGTGATCAGAAAGCAATTCTGCTGCCTCCTGCCTCTGAATTGATGAATTTTCAGCAGGTCCGTTCAGATGACCCAGATCGATGAGGCTGAGGATTGCGGCCTTGGTTTTTGCTTATTAGCTGGTTTCTGTTTAACCAAGGAACCAGGGCTCGGACTTGCGACTCTGTCCTATGGTTCGCGCAGATGGAGGACATGGGGTTGCATTGTGGCATTGTGTGCTCAGAAACCATCAGGGCCTTGACAAGCTGCTCTAGCTTCGAGGACTTGACAGGTTCCCCATATACTTCATGGTATTTCCTCTCATCCTTTTTTTTTTTTTTCTTGGTTCATCCCTTTGTAATAGAAAGTTATCCTATTTACTCAGGTTTGGTTGAAGACCACCTTCAATGGTGCTGCTCCTACCCGTTTTGCTTACAACCCGTCTCACGTATCGAATGCGAGGATCTGATCACATACCCGTCTGCTATGCATGGACTTCATGGCTAATGGAATTGGCGGTCCAAACGAGTGTTTGTTCGTACCCTTGGTATTGATATCAATACCGGTTATGTGCGAGTTTAGCTTCCGCCATACTCAGGTTTACCTGTTGGCCTTACCACATTGCACCTTGGTACTGGCTTCGCGCGTTCTGAAGACAGATGTGGGATAGATCAGACTGTTGCCGACCATGATGATTCTATGATTCTTTAGCTGATTCAGCCATCACTCCGGGAGTTACCCGAGCCGTTCTTAGGGCATGGGTTAGAGACCATCACATGGTTAGGCCCTTACCTGATCCTGCTGGTATTCATACTTCTCCTGAATATCGGACCTGGTTCATGACCGCTGTCTGGCCAGTGGAAAAGCCAAGGAGGAACGCATTGCTGAGTGCACTCGAGAGTTGGGTTCGGGCTGATGCTGGCGATGAGGAGATTATGTTGGCTCCTCGGACAGGCGAGGTTGGGGAGAGTTCGACAGTTAAGGATGACTCAGAAGATATCGGAGGACGTTGCCCCACGGAGGCGACGGGGTACCTAGACTCTAATAGGCTTTTGGACTTTTGGTGTTTTGGCTTTGTTTGAACTCTTTTGTCTTTACTTGGGACTTTGGGGTGTGGATTTTGGTGTTTTGGCATTGGATTTTTGGATGTATGTTCCTTTGGATCTGGACTTTATTATTTATTTTTCTTGGTCTCTTTAGTTTTCTGCTTGACTTTGGACTGTTTGACTTTGTTGCTTTCAATTGGGCATGTCATTAAGCTTTCCAAGCATTTTCCAACTTCATTTATTCAAGCTCTGATTTTTGCCTAAGCCGCCCTCTCGGGTTTAAGCCCGCCCTTTCGCTTTTCAACTTAGCGAAGCTACCCATTTTGCCTAAAGCCGCCCTTTTCGGGTTTTCAACTTTAGGCGTGGCCCCGATTTTGCCTAGCCAATCCTTTCGGGTTTTCGGGTTTTCAGCTTAGCGGGCCCCGACTTTTGCCTCAGCCGCCCTTTCGGGTTTTCGACTTAGCGGGTCTTCCTTTCTTTTTTTTTCTTTTTCTTCTCTTTTTTTTTATTATCGGCAAAGAAGAAAGAATTATGAAATGCTTTTTTTTTATTAATGTTTAGACCGCGCCCAAAGAGCACTGCCTACATATCTCCGATATATAATTTCTTTTTTCCAAAGAGAATCAGGTCTAATGTAGTTCGTTTTACATTATGCCATGATTGCAATTACACAAAATATCTTTTTAGCTGATCTAAATTACATGGATTAGTGAATTCCAAATTCCAAACCATCCAAATCAGTCAAGATGACGGCTCCGCCGGACAATACTTTCTTCAACACATAGGGGCCAGCCCAATGAAGACGAAACTTCCCACGTAGATCTTGAATTGGCTGTCTAATTTCCTTCAGAACCAAACAACCTTCTTCGAGTTTTCGGTCTTTGACCTTCTTGTTAAAATGCCGTGCCATTCATCTCTGGTAGACTTGAGTTTGGTGGATTGCTTGCAACCGCTTTTCATCCATACCCAAAAGTTGCAAATGATAATTCTTCGCCCAATCTGCCTCACTGATCTGACTTTCTTGTCCTGCCGATGAACTTCCAGCGTCAATAGGCAATTAACTGCTTCCAACCGTATATACCACGAATACAGACGTTTGCTTTCCGGTGGCGTTCTAATTCGAAGTCCTATATCCCCATAAGCATTTGTATAGCTGTTCATGAGCTGTTCATGCCAAGCTTTATGCTTTTTAACTGTCTTCTGCAAAATGACTTTTATAGCCTTATTTGCAGCTTCTACAGCCCCATTCGTTTGTGGACGGTAGGGCGAGGATTTATGGTGCCGAATTTTCGTTTCTTTCAACAAATTAGAAAATTCGCTCTGAAAGTGAGACCCGTTATCCGTAATGATCTCAAATGGTGTTCCGTACTGACAAAGGATGTTAGTACGAACAAACTGTGCTGCCTTCTTGGCATTTAAAGCCGAATGAGAAGCTGCTTCGATCCATTTAGTGAAATAATCTACAGCAACCAGGATGAATTGATGACCATTAGAAGCCTTCGGGTGGATTTTTCCGAT